CTATAGGAATTGAGTAAATGTTCCACCTGACTTAACAGTAGAAAGGTTAACGGCCTTCCTGACAGGAGTCAGCTTCCACGGAGCAGGTAGCTGTGCCACGGTGACTCTGGGTCTGGATCAGAGTGATCCATGGAGACCATGTAGTTATGTCTCTGAAGGAGGGCTGTGACATAGTCTGTGAAGTACTGTATGTCTGGAACTGGGATCCGACAGCTCTGAGTCATACACAGCTAGGAGAGTATGAGCGAAGTGGAACATTCGTTGGTTGACTTTAGTTAATACTGACCTCCTAATGCAGACAGTTCTCTCACTAAAAGAGCGTATTTGACAGGAAGAGCAAAAACTCCAGACGCACGTCATAGGTCCAACTAAAGTTTTGACAACTAAACATTTGACCTTTTGCTGATAAAATCTTCCAGAACACCACCTGCAACCAAAGTATCTATATCTGGAGCTGAAAGAAGCACAAAGGTCAAAATTAAAGCCTGAAAAGTGTTGACGTGTAGGATTCAAGTGTGTCTGTTTATAAATACCAGTAATGTCAGCCTTGATTATGTAGAGGTGATTAGACACACACAGAGAGAGGGGAAAAGAGCAGATAAATATGCAGTAATTTCTCTCATGCTGCTCACTTTAATTGAATCTGTTTGCTTTAAACACTCAAACCTTTTTCACTTAGAAAAACGAATGGTTCAAATTGGCTCCTGAGGCCATAGGGTTTCTGAGGACACGTAGATATACAAAGTGTATTCAGAATGATAAGTCTAATCCTATTTAACTGTACACCTACTGCCACATTAATACCCTTAATGTGTAATATTAATGTGCAAGAGCGAAAAAGCCTCGATTCCAGTCTGTTTCTTACTTTAGTTTTTCTCTGTGTGTAAAGCACTTTATGAACTAAAGAATTAACAGTACTATTATATGGCAAAATAGTAAGAAGACATCACTTTAACTCTGGCCATTCGTCCTCTGAAATTATTGTAAAAAATGACTTGCAACTCACTCTATGTCTAAGTAATGCAAATACCAAACTAATATATATAAAAAAAACAACTCACCAAGTTCTGATTCTAAGCACCAGTTTTTGGTCTACAACTGATTTCTAATGGAGATTTAAACACGTGCTGTCTTGGTTCCTAAAGTCCCTAAGAGCTGCGATCTTCAATCAAACTGGCAAAACATAAATCTCCAAAATGACTTTCAACTTTGAGATTCTGTGTAGTTACGCTCTGCATGTCTGTGTTTTTGATGTGGAGCTGCAGTGTGATGCTGCAGTCTGGACCACGGACTCTGAATGGCACTAGGATTATTGCTGGTAAAGTAAAAGTAAGCGGCCCCCCCCCCCCCCCCCACTCAGCCCCACGGTCTCAGAGTCTCTGTATGGGACTGAAGGAGTTGTAGCTGGCTTTGGGAAAGATAATTAATGGAAGAGCTGACAGTGCTGGCCCACGTTCTGCTCCATTAGAGGGAGAGAGCATCATCGGACTAATGTGCTCACAACCAGCTGCAAGAGAAAAGAGAGAGTTGTCTGGAGTCCAAGTGGCCATACTAATGAGCTGCTTTTAAAGATGCAGCCCTGCTGCTGCATGATGAAGTAACAGGCTCAGGAGAGTAGCTCACACATGTACAGTAAACACACACACACACGTACACACACAGCAAACTGCTAAACCTGTGAATGTAAACCAAGGCAGGCTCCTGGGCTAATGAGTTGAGGAAAGAGAAAAGGATGTGACGAGAAAGAATGATTATTTTATGACTGTAGGGAACATGGATTTAAAAAACAAAAGGCAGGGAAAGTAATGGCGGCTAATGGATTCTGAATTGCAATAGATGAAAATGAAATTCATCCCAGCACGTCAGTTCCACAGAAAGCATCCCAAAGTGATGGACCACGTGACTCAGGAATACGCTGCACGCTTTTCCTGCTCCTCCTCGGAGACGGACTCACATTATTCTGATGAGGTTTGCTGCTGCTACTGATGACGATAAAAGGGGAATTAGACTTTAAAAAAAACTCCAAGGGCACAAACAGGAAGTCATCCATGCAGTCACATGTACCTATCACACATTCAAGGGCAAAATGATCCGCTGTAAATTATAATCCAACCTCCGTGGAGCCGACAATCCCATTAAGGTGCCGTCCTGCTGCTAAACCAAATTGTCACAACAGAGGTACAGCAGGGGTCGTCTGACACTTCATGTTCTCTTTGACACAGTTTGCCTTTGCTGCCGTGGCCTGTGAGCTACAGAAGTCACCGTGACGCCCCCTATAGAAACGTAAAATTACAAAAATCATTAAAAAAGTACTGAGACTGATTCTAAGTCTTGGAGCCGGTCCCAGCAGTCATTAGGCTCGACAATTTGCCAGTCCATCAGAGGACCATAAAAAAATGACATCAACACTTGAACTTCGACTTCGAGCGTTTTGGAAGTACCTGTGCGACCCGTGATCGAACCAGCGGACCATAATCATTACGCTGTAAGGCAAACGTCAAACACGTCAAAGGAAAGTCCAGACGAATCGAGGCGCAGAGCCACCTAGTGGTCTAAGGTAAGTGTTTTACATCTGCATCCCTTTTGTCTGTTGGATTTTTTAAATGTGCCACAGGAAGTGACCGCTTAGTTGAGTCCTTGCGTGGTCAGCTAGGGTCTGAGGTGTTACCGCATCTTCAGTCGCTCACTACAGCACGTTGTACTTTAAGTACATACAGTACATTAAGTAGTATACAAGCCATTTGTACGATGTACACGTCAATTAGTTACATCATATATATCATATATAGATCAGTTGACCTGACAGGATGTTTGTTTGTCTAATTTTCCGTTTAAACCGTGAAGGTCGTGCATTAAATCTAGTGTTCAGGGTCTTCGTGAAGTGAACGTTTGGATATTCTAATTTAACTATTAAGGTGTTACTCTTTTTGTTTTATCTGTTATGTGATCCACACAAATTTAACATTTGTTTTCTCTTTCTTTTCCCCACAGTCTATTCCTTGTTCCCAGATAAATAAGAAACTTCTGAATTTGGCATAAAAACTGTGCCAAAGTTATCACCGTTCAGATGATCTGCTGTGGTAAGGCCTGGAGACGGGAGAGAGAGCTAAAAACATTCTGTTTTGTTCTTTGGTGATAAACGCCACCACTGTAATCTACCACTTTATATTGTTAGCCGTCAAATCCTTCTCTTTAAGGAACTCTCCTTCCAGCAAATCCTCGTGTTTATTAGTCATTCTGCTGCTCTCCTCACAGATCCACTCACTTCTGACCGATGTTGTGACAGGCCAGCTTCTGTCTTGTCACGCTGATTTATTCAGAGATGAGTAGATTGGTACCTCGAGACGGTTCACTGACCTCGGCGTTGTTTTTTTCCTAGGCTAATATCCGCCTCACGGGAAATTCCTCACGTCTATGAATTCAAGGACTGGCAGCAGTGATGAAGGTCAAGTGACATCACTGTGGGGGAGGGGGCGAGGGGTCAAAGGGCAGAGCCCTCAGGTAAACACTTGTGACCCCAGTCGCCCGCTCCAATCAGAAGGTGCCAGTCGGGAGGATTTATCTCGACCACGTTGTCAGATAAACTACACAAAGTGAGTGAGTCTGTTGTTTTCTCACTAAGACTTTGTTTTTTTTAAATATATATATATAAAACTGCTAAGTTGACAACAGGGATAATACTGTGAAGTCTAATGAGTGTAGGTCTTCATAAATCACTGTCTGAAGTAAATAGTTGGACGACAACTACAGTGTCAGTTACAAAGAGCTTCTGTTCAAACATCAGCACGACTGTTTGATAAATAACTAAAGAACAGAGAAACTCACCACTTTATTATATAATACCATACAATTTATAATACAAGTTTGACATTGAATACCAGTGACATTTTCATGAATTCTGACTTGGTACAAAAGGAGTACCAGCAAAAGACGTACAAAAACAAGGATGGATTCTACCATATTGTTTGACCTTTATTAGTCTATTTGTTTCTTTACGTTGTTTTAAATGTAAAATATAAAATAAGTGTAAAATGTAAAATAAGAAGGTAAAGTGTCAAAACTTGGAAAATCCAAACTTTAATGTCCTCCTAGTTTCAATTTCTCTTCTTTATTTTCATACTAGGTGTAACAAACCCGTCCTTTCTTTCTTATGTGAGTTAGCTAGTCACGTTGTCCTCTTCCTGCCTTTTTTAATGTGCTCTGGTGCCCTCTAATGAAGCCATTATTTACACTATAAACAAAACCATTGGGTTTTTTAAAGTGTTCAGCAAAAAAACTGAAGAGTTCACTCCTTTAACCACAAGTGGTGAACACTGAAGAGTTCACTCCTTTAACCACAACAAGTGGTGAAGAATCCTGGGTTTAAAAAGGTAACGCTCTTCAGCCCGTCTTGTTTTTACTGCGAAGGTTTTCTAGATTTTGTCTGGTTCACTAATTAAAAAATAAATACATTTTAATTGTCACATTAAAATACTATAATTACACCAACAAATGAAAAGATGCGAAATTGATTGTTTACTCAGACGCAGTGCGGCATCTGTGGCTCCTACCTTTTGCCATGAGACTAATTACACGCTGTTGAATTCAGAGAGCCTTTCACGTCTCCTCAGTATTAACCAAACGGTGTCTGCCCCAGGAACTGCACTTCTTACCACCGCCTTCTCAAGGGGACAAATCACAACAACATGAAACGTCAACTTATTTGTCTTCTCTGTCAAACTCCCCCGAGCAGAGAGGCTGTTATTTTTCACCTGAGGCTCATGTTTATCTCTGATGTATCAGAGGGGTTTTTATTTGCCCCTTCTTCTCCATATTTATAGTTATTTAATTGATTTCCTTAATTTCCTGAGGGATTAATAAAGATCTATCTTTCTGTCTAGGAAATAGGCAGGAAGGAAACAGGAAGGAAGGAGACAAGAAAAAGTGTGAAAAGAATTCTAAAATGTGACCTTTGATCTGGTAAAGACAACAGAGTTGCCTAGCCTTTCATCTGTTTTTTTTTTTAGCTCATATGGAATGTAAATACAAAAGGATGCAGTAGGCGATACGAACTGTTAGAATCAACGCTCGGAAAACAAACGGGTTTCATTTGAACAATTTTTCACTCTTGGTGGGAGACGAAATAACCTCCGTATCCAATGTTGCGTTACAGGCCCCGTTCGGACTCCCAGGAGGAGGAGACGGAGGAGGTGCCGGACTTTGACACATTGCCCCGCGTTTACGTGGAGAGAACTCTGGCCATCATTAAACCTGATGCCGTCCACAAAAGTGAGGAGATCGAAGACGTCATCCTCAAAGAGGGATTCACCATTCTGCAGGTGGGTTTGGTTTGCTTTTCAAATCAGTTTGAAAATACAGACAAAAACAATATGTTTCAAGTCTATAGTGTGTCTGCCTCCTCCACCCCCCCCAAACCTGTGCCCTCCACACTAAGCAATGTGGCACATCCAGTGGCACAGATTGCTGCTGCTGGACGTTTACTGAAGCAGTTATTCCGATTTATAATGTTCCATTGTCCATTATCGTCAAACCTCAGTGAAGTTCTTTCACCCGACAGAAACGCAGGCTCCAGCTGACTCAGGAGCAGTGCAGCAACTTCTATGCCGACCAGCACGGGAAGGCCATCTTTCCCAGGTTGATTATCTTCATGAGCTCCGGCCCCATCATTGCCCTGACTCTGGCTCGCACCAATGCCATCGCTCACTGGAAATCCCTCATGGGCCAAATCACTGATATGGAGTCTGTGGAAACTGAAACCAAAAGGTCAGTGAGAAATTTGTATTCTGTGGTGTTATAAATATATATATATATTTTAGCATATATAGTATATATATTATATCAGGAGAGTAAAATCTGTGCCGTTTGTAAAACTCAACAGTGTATTTGTGTACATTTATCTCCTCAGCCTCAGAGCAAAATACGGAACATCTGAACTGAAAAACGCTTTCCATGGCAGTGACTCATTCCCCGCAGCTGAGAGAGAGATTAAATTCATGTTCCCCAATTGTAAGTACAACATGGCGAGTGTTTCATAAAACCATTTGATGTCTTTAATTTGTCTCGTTTGTTTGCAGCGGTAATCGAACCCACTCCGTCCAAAGAATCGACGCAGGAATACCTGAGCAGATACGTGAACCCCACTCTGCTCCGCGGACTCACGGAGCTCTGCAAGCACAAGCCTTTCAACCCCTGTGTGAGTATCCAGTGCTGTATAAACACAAGGCTGGATCATAAATAACAACAACCATTCATCCCACAGCTGGTATTTATTACAGTTAATGGTACTGTCACCGGATTGGTTCTGCTGGCTGTACACTTGGGGTTATTGTAATATATTTGTCACTCTTGTGTTAACATTAGGTTTGGCTGGCCGATTGGCTAATGAAAAACAGTCCCAATAACCCGCAGATATGTGAAGGAGCCATTATGTAGGAAGAGGAACACGGAAAAATGGAAAAGGAAAAAAACCCCAACAACAACAGGGAATGGAACAGAGTATAAGAATTCATAAATAATGCAAATGTTGTTATTTTCTGTTAGGACTCATTTTAAATCACTGGTTCTTGTGATTATTAGGTTGACACGAACACTATGTCCTGTGTGAAATAATTCTCCATTAGGTTTCCATACAGTGCTCAAAATAAAATGTATTTCTCAAGTCAATCATATATTGTATTGTTTTTCCCTAAAACATATTTGTGTTTTATCAGCATTGGCTGAAGCTGAATTCATAACACGGTCCAGTTAGTTTGAGTTAAAAAATAAAATAAATATTAATAATAATTTAAATAATAACAATAAAAGTAATTGTTTTAGATTAGGTGAGACTGAACTGATCTCATCTAATCCAGAACAATTAATTCTAACAAAGGTGTTTACTCACGCTATCTAATTTTTACTGTCACATCAAGTTAATTCCTACTACCTACGCTCCGTCCGCGGGCTGTTTATGTGTACTACAGTGTACTGTGGGAGTTTCACACGTGTATACTGCAGCGTGTTGCTTTACGGTGAGGTTTCCTGCAGATCGTCGTCTGCTATAAAAGACGAGTCAATGACGTGAAACCATTAAAACTTAAACGACCCGTTTACTGTTGTAATAAAATGCAAGATGGCGGAGTGTTTCTAAGAAACCCATATTGTTTTTGGATACTTTTTAGGGTACAGGGGTTTTCACACTGATGAAAACACAGATTAACCCGGTTCATATTATTTGACTTGATGCTAATGTCGTATCACATGACATGACGTTAGCACTCGCCAGGCCACAGCTTTGCTGCTGCAGCTGTGAAAGAGTGACAGAGGTATTGTTTTGTACCTCAAAGTGGTCTGGGACTATTGTGAGATCCCAGGAACCCGTGGTACTGTACTAACATGCCTGTCTGTGATTGTTGCCGCTCTCTGAGTGGCTGCAGCCTCCGGAGCTATTTTTAGATTAATTGTTATGACACAAGAACAGCCGAGTCCTTCATGTCTATGGCTGGAAACCTATATGAGGAGACACCTTTTTAGTGTTTGTCAAAGAGGGCAGCATCAATTGGCTTTTGTCTTTCAAAGCACAGCTGCCTCGGGCTACGTGCTTTTATCGACTCGGTTGCAACACGGTTGGTTTCATCTCCACCAAAGGTACAGTTAGTGCTGAAGTGTGATTGTTGTTTGGATGTGGATGTGTTTGGTTTTTACCTAGATGGAAATGATAATGGAACGTTGAAAACTAGCAGCTAAACTAGCGGCTGCCTTAGCGCAGAACAAATTGATAGCATATAAACAAAAGAAAACATTTATCACCTGCTGTGAAGAATTACCTGATTTTTTTCTAAAACCCCCAAAATCTAGCCAGGAAGTCAATAAGATTAATTTTCAGGTCGCACCCTGCGGTGTTGAAATAATTGCCCCAAATAAACAAAAGTCCTAACAGCGGGTTCTCCTGAGGGATTTGTTATGCCTCAAATGAAAAATAATTTAATTGTAACTTCCATAAATTTTTTACTATAATATACATAAAAATAAATTAAAGGTTAATACGATTTTTTTCCCCAAGTGACGCCACTAATCTATGTTTATCCCCAACATAAACGAGGTCAACGTGACAGAACTCATGCAAACATGAAAACTCGACTTTACGGGATTTTTCCAAACCTGGTGCCAAACATTAAATTAGTGTTGTAATATAACTCCAAACCTGGTGCCAAACATTAAATTACAGTGTTGTAATATAACAAATAACAGTCTGGTAGATGCCCAAATAGGTTTTCTGGTTACTGTGGAGATGGGGTATTAGAAGAATTCCACCAAAGTCTCGGTCTTTGCAAAGATTGGTCAGGACTGGAATATTGTGCTGACCTTTGAAAGAGAAATGTCTGTCTGTATAAAACAATCTTTTCCTGAACAAATTAGCAAAGGCTTCAGGCCAGTATCAGCTGCGGTCAATTATATTGATTCAATAAGTCAGGAGGAATCTGTGTGCCGAAAGGTCACTAGCAGAAACTGTTGCTGAATGAGCGTAACCTCAAATGATCACAGTCTGAATAAATAGACTATTTTTAAGTCTTAAAGGAAACCAATGATTTCATATGAAACAAAGAAAGTCCTGAAACTGACACTGACGTCACATTAGACGATACGTCTGTCTGTTACAGACCATCATCATCAATCCAGGAAAGTTGAAGCCACACATTTGAGCAACAAATGTTTATTCCACAATTTCCCCAGTGTGAGATCAATGACGTTTACCCCTAACCACACATTTGAGCAACAAATGTTTATTTCACAATTTCCAAGACAATCCAGTTCTATTTACTCTATCTAATGTAATCTAATGTTGTTTGGTCTATTACAATCCAATCCAGTCCAACCCAATCTAATCTAATCTAATCTCAAAAAGTCCAAAAATGTTTTACTCATGTGCGTCGAGTTCCTAGAACAATACAAATGTATATTCTGTGACCAGATGAATCTTAAGAACTGCAGGTTCTTCACTCGCTTTGTAAAATACAAAAGGCAACAAATCAGTGGACGACGGTTGAATTTATTGTTAAAGCCACTCTGTCGGCCACTTTCTGCAAAACAAAAAGCTCTCATTCTGGGGCAATGAACAAAAGTTATTGTACATTCAGAGAGTTGTCCCCTCATAACAGCTCCAGTGGATTTATTTTATATCCTATTCCTGCTAAAAGAAATGGAATATAAACTAACTTCAGCAGAAGTTTTACACACTGGACGTTTATTGGACGCCTCTTTGGTATCAGACTAGCTTTGCAGGGGAAATGTCGACGTCCCACTAACTGATAATGACTGTCTAATGGTGGTTTTTATCACTCATGTAAAAACGGCATAAGAACGAGAGCTACAGCTTTCTATTTAATAAGCAGAATATAGAGTTACTCGCTAAAATAAAAATAAATTAGCATTTTGCAAATCTGAGAAAAAGTCCTCTTTAAATTCAAAGTGTAAAGTTTTGGGGTTTTTTTTAACTGGAGGCTTGACGGTTGGATAATGAAAGCAGTGTTTATGTCATCAGGCGGTCCAGCTGGGTGTAATGTCAGTTGAGCCGCAGGTCTGTGGATATTAACTGTCTTATTACTCCCTCTGTTTTCATTGCTCAGCCACTTGTGAAATTGAACAGATGCGGAGCGTCGTCACCACCAGGCCTGCGTTAAACCTGACCAGGGCGAATGAACAGGACAATCCACATGTGTGTACAATCATCTGCAGAGCAGAATTATCAGCCTGTGCAGGAGAGGATGGATGGAGTCGGACCATGTTCTGTATGTGCTGTAGGTGTGGGCAGAACCACAGGGACCGACTGGGGTCAGAGGTTTAATGGACTGCCCCGTGTCTTCGCTGCGGATATCGAAACATGTCAACCGTTATGATCGACATCAGCGCCTTCTCCAAGAATGATGTTCTTAGGTACTTACTGACAAGGACAGCTATGACCCAACTTTAGATGTGTTGTGATGTTCTTAGGTACTTACTGACAAGGTCAGCCATGACCTAACTTTAGATTTGTTGGATAGATAGATAGATAGATACATTTATCGATTGATTGATCGGTCAGTCGGTTGGTTGGTAGATACTGTTTTGTTGTATAGATAGATAGATAGATAGATCGGTCGATTGATCGATCAATAGACAGATGAATCAATAGATTGATAGATAGAACTTTATTAATTCCCTTTCCAGAGTTCCCTTTGGGAAATTAAGGATTGGTTGAGTTTCTGTGTGTATCTGAAGTACTGTGTGACGCTGGTGTGGCCACTTGGTGGAAAACTGATTTGTTGCGTGAGAAAGTGTTTTCAAACATCCTGGAAAACCTGAAAATTTTCAAAAATGTTTTTTTAGTAGATGAAAGTCAGGTTTGTCGTCCTTGCTTCACCGTGCCTTGTGAGTGAATGCAATTAAATTGAAAGTTTTGCACCTAGTCACCTCACATGTCAAACTTCGAGCAGCTTTTTAAACTCAGTTTCCATTTGACTTTGGTGTAATAATTAGAGACTTTCCAGATGGAGAGCGGTGCTAGCATTGGTCCGTGTGGTCATGGGTGTTTTTCTCTGTCCGTCCTCTGTTATAAACTTAAAAACGTACACATAATCTGAATGTGTGAAGTCAAAGTAGAAAATACAGAAAGTACAACTGCATGAAAGATTTTTAATGCAGTAGGAGTACAAAGCGTTAGAATTACTTTATAACTTTGTCTGTCGTGCTGCAGCATTTGAATACATCCTGGAGAATGTCCTTGAAAATACTTTATAGATTTGAATTGGACACAATCTGTCAGTGTGAAATGACTTCAGAGCCAGCTGAACAGACGGAGTGTGGGTCAGAGAAAACAGTGACACGACAGGTCTGCTGAGAATATCAAAAAAGAGAGTGAACAACGTGTGTGACCTCTGACCTCAGAGATTAACTACAGATTGATGAATTAGTTATATAAAATCACTAAATACGGATACGGCTTCACTCTAAATTGACCTTAGTGTGAATATTAGTGTGAATAGTCATGGACCAGTGAACTGAAACCAACCATCGTCCCATTACTGCTGTGATTGGCCCCAGCTGACCCCATGACCCTCACAGGGATTAGATCGAACTAATGTGTGTATGAAGAATGATTTGGATATTTTTCAGGTTTTTAAGATTTCTTGTACACGTTCAGTCGCACATTTATGCGTTTAGATTAATTCCCGTGTACTCCTGTGAAGTAGTACTGCAGTGCTGCTCCATTTCCTCTCATAAATAAAGAACGTCTAAGAGCTGAAAGGTAAAAACTCTGCAACGTTGACCTCATCCTGTTTTTGGAAATCATTGGAGCACAACTCAATAAATGTAGGAGTCTATCAGTCAAAATGAGAAACGACTGCTGCTGTAAACACCTCGTTATCACACCAGTGCACTCAGGTGGAAATATAAGAGTGGTTGAACATGAAGTGAACGCAGTTGAAAGACATGCACGGATTTTAATGACGGTCACATTCGACGCCGCTGTGGAAAAAACACACTTAGAGAAGGAAACCTTTTATAATGAGTTCCATCAGAGAAGCCATGGAGGACAACGGTGGCCGGAGTCTGGACTCCAGCATCGTTGACCTGTGCTGTCATAGATCTGACCTTAGTCAGATGGTTTGTAACGCTAGCATCACACTGAACACCTATAAATCACG